ACACTCTTAAATTTGCATCCTTATCAAAGGCAATAGTTTAATGCAAATAATAACCTCTTTGTGATTGATTGTTTACCCACTGTAGCTCGTGTATTTATATTCTGACTAAAAATTAACTTCAATTTGCAAATAACTGCAGAGGTTGGTTAGATGGTGTGTAGTAGCTTGAAAAAGCAGGTTAGGTGCAGTGACTCACTACCCTCTAAGTTAGCAAAAGAAGAAAAATGGTGGTGAGTCATTTCCTTTGCCCTACTTTATATAATTAAGTATCATTTTAGGATTGAAACTTGATCCTCTCATATTAAAATATATATGATATGATCATGTGGAGAATCATAATTATATAAATGTGGATCAATAATAATAAAGAAAAAGAAAAGAAAAGTATTGAAATAAATAATTATAAAATCATAACTGTTGATTTACCTTTATATTGTTGTGATCTTTTCATATGATCGTGTCATTTTTTTTTTCAATCCATTTCCATCTTTTTACCTTCTTTATATGAGTCAATTCCACAACCTTGGATTGAAAACCATGCATATATATAATTTATTTTTTCTTTTGAATTCCTCATATATACAGGGAAACTAATTTATATATTTTAAAAAATTAAAGTTTGAGGAGCCAAAGGAAGAAATGAAATTAGGCAATTTATGAAAATATATGATAATGTATATGCATCAAGTTCTGATACGTTGTTAATTTTCACCATTATTAAATTGACATTAAAAGTATTATATCTCATTTGTTTTAATATATCATAACTAGAGCATCACTTGATGTAACAAAAAGTTGGAAGTTTCCCTTTCTCAAAGACATGATGTAGTAATCAACAAATTCAAAACCTGCGGGAAGGAAGATCTTCTCGGGCATAATAAGAAATCTAACCAAACAAAAAAGTGGGGAATGCGAGGCAGCTAGTTAGTTGATTGAGTATTAACGTATAAAGTCTTTATTAGTATTACATCAAAAGTTGGAAAGTTTCTTTCATCTACTTGAGGTTTAAAAATAATGCATTTCCATCCCATCGCATCGCATGACTTAATAATCCTGGAAAAATATATATATATATATATATATATATATATATTTGGAAAGCTTTCCTTATATAACCTTTCATCATGACTACGCAAGGTTAATTAAGAAGCAAAAAAGCACATCAATTGAATTGCTGCATACACAGTAAACAAATGTGTGTGGTATTGGACTGTCAGAAGACGACTATCTTCATGTAGAGCCACATGATCGGGCCTTTCAAACATTAGTTTGCATACCGCAGAATAATAACAAAATCTAATTAAGAAACTCAAAAGAAATTAATGATAATGATCCTTATGATCATGATCATGTTATTGAGATCATGATGTTCATCATGACCATCATCACATCAGCTCCTGGTCACCGCATCATTTGGGTAGGACCATTAAGTTATCAAGGAAATTGCTGTCAGATTATATATACATATATATATGTTATGTACATTTGGTTGTAGCTATTAGATTGACACCAAAACCAAATCAATTGTTTTTGTCCTCGTCGTGTAGCTACTTACTCTATAAGCCTCTTAATTAGTAGGTATCACATCTTCTTTGAGCCAAAGAGAGATTGAAGGGATTGGTGGGGTCTATTGTGAATGACACAGAATCATCTGGGGTCTCCAAAGGGTGAGCAAAACGATTGACGCACGAGTGAATGAACAGGAAAAGAGAGAAGAAGCCCACACGCATGAAAGATTAAGCAAAACCATAAGGTGACACGGAGGAGAATGAGAAGTGCTTGTCTGTGTTTGGCCTCCAAAACAACCAGCACATTAGTCAGGGTAATCCCATCAGGGTTATACAAAGCAACGGCACAGGGAAAGACACGTGGCCGACATGCACATGAGGGAGGTCAAACCATTGGGTTAATAGAGGAAGTAATATCCTGAGGTTTAGTGGGGGGAAGCATTATGAGGAATGCACAGAGGATCTTTTATCTATGAAGAAACTTGGCCCCATGCAACCTTCTTTTCAATTAGTATTAGGAGCACTCCAAAGTCATAGCCCACTTGCACTGCATGCTTTTTGGGATTCAATCATAGAGCACCAGTTTTCAAGCTGTTGGGTGAAGGAAAAGAGACCTATATTCCTCCTTTCTTTTCTTTTTTTTAAAGTTTTTTCCCCTTATTTTTTTTTTCCCTCTTATGTTCCATTCTATTTACTATTCAATGAGTTTATCATGGCATGCTTTTGATACATTACTATGTTGACTAATCCCAACGAACCACTCCTTCTCTCTCTTCTCCCTGCTGTAACCTCTAGCACTCTTGGGTTAGGAGACATTGAGGTACTCATTTTTTCTTTAGTTGGTGTCTCCCTGGCTGTTTCCTACAGAACCTCATAAGCTACAGGCACATCCTATTCCTCTCTCTCTCTCTCTCTCTCTCCGAGGATTACTTGCATAAAACTACCAAAACACCCAACTTTCAGCTTCACATGTTCATATACGTTGGTGCTAGGCCACTAAATCTTTAGCTTCAGTTCAAATATTGGTGCTGCTTCATCTACTTTCTTCATTTTGTACAGCTACTTCAAAACTACGCAGCTTTTTCAATTGTGGACCTTTTTCTGCTTCGTCAATAACACCAATAATATGGTAACAGGTATGTTCTCTTCTTCCTTCACCCTTTTAAATTCTTGGGACATTTCCCATTCCTTTTCTTTGGTGTTTGATGAAGTGCTTTATCCTGTTAGTACAGAGAGAAAAATATGGAGTGGAAATTTAATTAAAAAAATTTCGGTTTTGACTTCTCATTCCTTAACCAATTAAAAGCTTAAAGTTGCTTTTTCATTCTGTTATAAAGATGAAGAGTGCTTTTGCCAGAGGATAATAAAATTTGTGAAAAAGGAACACACTGTAGATTCTGCTTAAAAAAATCCAAAAGAAAAGGGACAAAAAGAAAATGATAAAAACCTTCTTGTTGAGGTGAGAGGAGGGTACTGGCGGGGGAACTTATCTATTCCAGAAGAGAATATACACATAATTGGCTAAATACCTAACTGAATGCCATCCAAGAATCAAATGGATGTCATTGATTCACTACAGAGCAAAGGTAGCTTATATTATTAGCTATACACTTTTCTGAATTTTCATGATGTTCATGAAATTGGGATCTGTGAGAGTTGCCTCTAAGAAAAAGGAAAGGTGCCGTGGTGATGCTTCGGATGCAATCTTCTTTTGAAGAAAAACATGAAGGGTTTTTCTTCTGTCTAGTTGAAAGCAATAAGTGCTGTGCCACACTGGTTTTTGCTTTACCACCATTTGTCTGGGAAAGCACAGACCATGCTGCATGTCAGATTTCAACAAATGAACAGTGGGAATAATGGCCTAGCAATAATATCATATCCTCAATCAAAAACAGTTGTAGATTCTTCTGCTTTTTTATTTTATTTTATTTTATTTTAATTATTCAAAATTTGAAGGATAGCTCAGATAAAACGTGAATGGCAGGATGCTTTTATGAACTAATGCTGTACTGTTTCAGTAATTCCTGAATAAAATTGAGGAGAAAAGAGAAACAAAAGAAGGAAGGAGAAAAAGTTGGTTCCACCTTTCTTGATTCCTATATACTTAATGGGGAGTAGGATAATTGAGATCACCATAGCATTGGACCACTCCGGGCCTATTATATGTTTCAACTGAAAAAAAGTACACATTAGTTTATATATCAAAATTCTTTAGAGACACAGCGAAAGTGACTTAACAAAGTAGCCTCACAAAAAAATGATCAATAATACTTTCCTTCTGTTAGGAAGCTTTTGGTAGCACACTAGTTTTTTGCCTGGTGCATCACTTTCTCTCGGATTTCCATATCTTTGTCTGAACATAGCCATGTATCCTTATACATATGGAATCAAAAGTATATTTTCTAAAGAGATTGCAGTGTGTATTAGTACATATCCGTTTCGGATATATATAGGCTATATTTTGAGCCAAATCTGAGCCACTACAAAAGCTGTAATGATTTTTGCTGGTTAACCTAATAGTTAATTCTCAATTTCCAAACAACCATAAATATTGTTTACTATGTATTCTCTATCCAAGACCCATCACTCAAGGTAATCATATATGTTTATGCATGCACAATGAATTTTCTGCCATGGTGCCTGCTTCTTTTAAAAAAAATTATTATTATAAATTTGGGTGGGGTTGGATGAGTATATTCAATACCCAAACTATTCCACTAGAGAATTTATTTGCTGCATTCTACTTTAGAGTAGTTTTTGAGTCTTTTTATGATAAACAGATTATGAAAAAATTGGGCTAGGGTTCAAGTTATGTAAGGATATTGTGAGTAGAGTCAACGTTTTAACTTGATTAATAATTATCGCTTTCCCATTATCAGCTCCCTTTTTATTTTTATTTAGTTTACAAAAATTAGGAACAGAACAATATCGTATGAATAACAAGGTTGTGTGCCAACATTTATCGAATTCTCATGTTGTTAAGTTTGTTGTTACATATGTCAGGAACTGACTCAGGAGGCAGAAAAATCTGAAGCCGGAAGTTAGTCAGTGAGCCACAAAAGTTTTAACTAACTTGGACTGCTCAATTCGGATTTAATGTTTGAAGTAACTTCCAAAGGTACTAGAGTAGACAGATGTGCATGTGATCTAGCAAAACTCTCTAAGCAGTTACTATTCTGGGTGTATGAAGGCATAAACTGGAATTTGTTGTTTATTTTTTTCTTCAATCTGTGGATGAGGGCAACATCATCTTCTATTGAATTGAAGGGCTTTCAGGGTTGTATACATATCAATGAGATTGGCAGTGGCAGAAGAACCCTTGCTAAATAAATCAAACTTGAGGTAAAGTCTTGTTGCAGATTTCTCTTTCTCCTTTATTTAGTGGAATTTTTCTCATTCATAATTGACAGAAAGATGTCCTCGTCTTCTACCTTCATCTATTGTGGTTTCTAGTTCTTTGTCCTCCATCCCTTTGCTTCAAATGCTGCCATGCTCTAGTGTTTCATGGTCATGAATCTTCTTGATATTTATTCATCCAAATATGTTTATCAATCTCATGAGCTACTAGATAACCCTTTGGATTCACTTGTGAAAGAGTTCCATTAACGCCTTCTGTTCTCTCTCTCTCTCCAATGGCTTTATGGGATCTGTTGTAATATCATTCAAAGTGCACTCTTCTGAATTCATGCAGGCTTTGAAGTAGAGATTTTTCTTTCTTTTTTTCTTGACGATTTGGTATAGATAACAACAGATAAAAATGAAGTTCATGAAACTTGGGACAAAGCCAGATACTTTCTACACTGAGCAAGCTACCAGGTATTCGCAGCAACCCTTTGGTCAAGAATATGGTTACAACCTTTTTACAAGTTAACATGTATTCTTATACTGCAGGACCCTGATATCAGATATAGCTGCAGACCTTGTGATTCAAATCAATGATATTACTTATCTGCTACACAAGGTATTGAAATTACAATGAAAGTATGGTGCGTGTGAAAAGAAAACCAAAATTTAATCTTGGTTCATCTATAATTCTGCTCTTTTTAGCTGCAGTTTCCGCTTCTTCCAAAGTGTGGCCTCCTACAAAGGCTTTGTTATGATTCTAGTGATTCGGAGAGTGTGTCTCTAGAACTTCATAATATACCTGGAGGGGAAGATGCATTTGAACTCTGTGCTAAGTTTTGTTACGGAATTTCAATCAACATTAGTGCACATAACTTTGTATCCGCACTCTGTGCTGCCAAGTTCCTTAGAATGAACGACTCCATTGAGAAGGGAAACTTCGTAGGAAAACTTGAGGCTTTCTTCAATTCATGTATTCTTGAAGGTTGGAAGGATTCCATTGCGACGCTTCAGACTACTTCTACGTTACCAGAGTGGTCTGAGAATCTCGGTATTGTGAGAAAGTGCATTGATTCAATTATTGAGAAAATTCTCACACCCCCACCACAGGTCAAGAACTTAGATCCATCAAATTACTTCCTCACGTTTCTGTGATTTTCACTTCTTTGGATATTTTTGCTTATGAATGATGATTCTGTGCAGGTCAAGTGGTCATACACCTACACTAGGCCCGGTTACACAAAAAAACAGCACCATTCTGTTCCAAAGGATTGGTGGACGGAGGATGTTTCTGATCTTGATATAGATCTTTTCAGGTGCATAGTAATGGCTATTAGATCAACCTATGTGCTTCCCCCACAGCTTATTGGCGAGGCTTTGCATGTCTATGCCTGCCGGTGGCTACCGGGCATCAGAAAGCTTAAAAGTTCAGGTAGTTCAGCAACTCAAACAGAAGAATCTAAGGAGAAAAACCGAAAAATTCTTGAAACAATTGTAAGCATGATTCCTGCAGATAGAGGGTCTGTTTCAGTTGGCTTCTTGTTTAGACTCCTCAGCATTTCAATTCAACTCGGTGCCTCATCAGTGACAAAAACAGAACTAATAAGAAGAGCTAGCCTACAGTTTGAGGAGGCAACAGTGAGTGACCTGCTTTATCCTTCAACATCGTCTTCTGACCAGAATTTTTATGATATAGAGTTAGTTCAAGCAGTGTTGGAAACTTTCTTGAAGCTTTGGAAAAGAATGTCCCAAGGTGCTGGGGATAACAGCTACTTTTTAAGATCAATCAGAAATGTTGGCAAGCTCATTGATTCCTATCTTCAAGTGGTTGCAAGGGACGATAATATGCAAGTGTCAAAGTTTATATCTCTTGCGGAAACTGTGCCTAGTATTGCCCGAGAAGAGCACGATGATCTTTACCAGGCAATTAACATCTATCTTAAGGTGAACTAGCGATACCACAAACCTGCAGTGACTTAAACTTAGGCTAAACTAAACTTGTTTAATTTTCATTGCCTTTTGCTTTAATGCTGGACAATTTCTCATGAAAAAGTTAACATTTCAGCACTTTTTGAGGATCTTGAGACTCTAATTATATAGACATACACGCACATATCATAGTAGAATGCTATAATTACCTTGAGCATTAAGCTACATCAACATAAGCTATTAAGTTCTTTGAATACTTTTATGGTGTGATTTAAGTTGAATGCATGAACAGGTGCATCCTGAGCTGAGCAAGGCAGAGAAGAAGCACCTGTGTGCGATTCTAGATTGCCAAAGACTGTCCCCAGAAGTGCGTTCCCATGCAGTCAAAAATGAGCTTCTTCCATTAAGAACCGTAGTGCAGCTCCTCTACTTTGAACAAGAAAAAGGCTCCAAGGCAACCACCAGCAACAAACTGCCAAAACCACATGACATACTTATTGGAGCAAAGCATAGACCAGTTACAAGAGATAGCCAAAGCAAGCAATCTTTAGGCTTAGATAAAGAAGAATTCAACAGAGAAGAAGTCACAAGAACCTCTCTTCCTGAAAGTAGAGAAAAAGATCACTATAAAACTAAAAGATCAGATGGTAAGTTGCCATTGGACTTAGAAAAAAAGATGGTTCTAAGAGGAGACATTGAAGAGACAGAGTCAGAGAAGGTGAAGGAAGCCAAAGACAAAAGTGCTTCAAGCTGCAAGTTGGACTTGGATCCTAAGAAAATCGTAAGGGCAAGAAGTAAATCAGACCATGGCATGAAAAGGGATAATAATAATAATATTACTAACAATAATCATTGAAGAATTCCAGAGAAAATCACAGCCTCCTATCTGCAATTTGTAACTTCAATTCTTATTATTTCTTTTTGGTTGTGTCATAAATTACTGTAAGCATTGTATAAATCCTTTGTACTACCTGTTTCCTGTAAAGGGTTGTATTTAGGGAAATGATTTTTCACATCATTACTTTACAAGTTTTTCTTTACACCTTTTTTTTTATTAAAAAAAAAAATAGAGAGAGAAAAGGTGTGTATTAAGAAATATTTTTTATTTTATTAAAAATAAGTGGTGTAAAAATAATATAAAAAGGTAATGTAATAATAACATTTTTCTTGTATTTAACTATGTGGTCATATAATTGATTGGTCGTATTTCATCGTAACAAATTTAATTTTTTATGATTGAGTAAATATTGATGATTATAATTTTTAACTGAACTTTATCATAACTAAATAGAAATAATGTTATTTACAAAAAAAAAAAAAAAAAAAAATAGAAATAATGTCAAGTTCATGTATGTGGTATTCTTTAATAAATTTACAAAAATCAAATTGAATATTGAAAAAGAAAAAATTATTTTTCCTCAAGATAATGCTATCACATGAAACTCAAAATTTTTATTGGCGGAAATCAACGGGCAGTTGGAATTTAGTGTCAAATTTCAAATTTTGATATCAATGTCAAAAGATCATATATATATATATATATATATATATATATATATATATATATATGAGGTATGATCTTTTCACACTAGTGTCAAATTTGAAATTTGACACCTCATCTGAGAGCCATTAGATCTAAAAAGATCAACGACTCTGATTTGTAAACATGTGACACCATTGATCTTTTTTGATCCAAGGGCTCTCAAATGAGGTGTCAAATTTCAAATTTGAGGATCTTTTGACACCAGTGTCAAATTTGAAATTTGACACCTCATCTGAGAGTCGTCAGATCAAAAAAGATCAACGACTCTGATTTGTAAGCATGTGACACCATTGATTTTTTTTTATCTAACGACTCTCAAATGAGGTGTCAAATTTCAAATTTGACATCGGTGTCAAATGATCCTGCCACTATATATATATATATGATCCTGCCACTATAAAGTTTAAAGTTTAAAGTTTGACACTGGTGTCAAATTTAAAGTTTGACACCTCATCTGAGAGTTATTAGATCAAAAAAGATCAACGACCCTGATTTATAAGTATGTGACACCATTGATCTTTTTTTAATCTAATGACTCTAAGATAAGGTGTCAAATTTTAAATTTGACACAAGTGTCCTGTCCTACATATATATATGTGTGTGTGTGTAGGATCCTTTGATATCGGTGTCAAATTTCAAAATTTGACATCAAATTTTAATCTTTGATTTCCATCAATCAACAGTTATGATTTATTACAAATCAAACTTATTAATTACTATTAATTTCTAATAAATGATAACTGTTGATTAGTGAAAATCAACGGATAAGATTTAGTGTCAAATTGAATTCTCATATTTAAGAAAATCTTTAAAAAAATGTTATTTTATTTTGTTTATAAATCAATTTACATATTTAAAATACATTAAATATAAATTTTTCTTAATGATTTTATTTTATTATTTTTTTTGGGAAAAACACCATTTTAAAATTTTTGAGCAAAAGAATTGCCCAGTTAAAGTTGATTGGATAATTTTTTTCAAAGTAATACAGTCAAACATGTCACATATGCTGACGGGACTAGTCTCGTCACTGACACTGACGGGACTAGTGCCACGTTAGCGCCACGTAAGCAGTTTTGTTACTATAAAACTTCAGAAGACCATAACTTGTGACTCGGGTATCCAAATCAGATGATTTTTTTTTATTTCACATAACTTTTCGAGATCTACGCAATGACATCTCATTTGATATATTTTATCTCCCACAAACATAATTTGAATTGGTAACAATTGTACCACAATCACGCGTTTAAATCCAGAAGATCTTCAAACTATGTTTGTGGAAGATAAAATATGTCAAATTAGATTTCATTGCGTAGATCTCGAAAATTTATGTGAAATCAAAAAAAAAATCATCTGATTTGGATACCCGAGTCACAAGTTATGACCTTCCGAAGTTTTACGATAATTAGACTGCCTACGTGGCGTTGACGTGGCACGAATTCCGTCAGTGTCAGTGACGGGACTAGTCCCGTCAGCATATATGACATGTTTAACTACAGTACTTTGAAAAAACTTATCCAATCAGCTTTAACTGAGTAATTATTTTGCTCAAAAATTTTAAAATGGTGTTTTAGCCTCTCTTTTTTGGTGGATTTACTTTATTATCTTTTATTTAATAGAAAACTGTGCATGAATAACATTTTTAATATGAAATTCCTTAAAAGAAAAACAAATCAATCAGTATTCAGTAGGCTTAGCTTGATAAAGTACCATTATGGGTGAAGTCTTTTTCAGTACCATTAGCTTGTTTATGTACCTTGGTTTATATACGAGAAATGATTGGTTTATAAATTTTTTTAATAAATTTTTTTAAATTAGAGGAGGATTATATAACCCTTCCTGTATATCGAGAGGGTTATATTTATAAATTTTTTATTTATAAATTTTTACAAATTATATTATGTATTTTCAGAAATATATTATGTTACATATATACTTTCAAGAATATATAATATAATTTACAAAAATTTATAAACAGATCATTCTATATATATATATATATATATATATATATATATTTAGCAACTTGTTTTATACTTCACTATTCACTACCCACAATCATAGGTTTATTTTACGGAGTAGGTTATATTTACAAAATTTTTTGTTTACAAACTACTCTAAGTACGATCGGTCATACTTTAATCATGCAGTGTACGACCGGTCGTACTTAGTGTAATTTGCAAAAAAATTTGTATACGGATCCTATCCCTTATTTTACATCTTCTTTTTTATAATTCTTGTTCAAAACGGTTTGTGTCACCTTTTACCAAAAAAATTATGAAATACAAATTTTGTCAATTCTTTTAATACTAAATAAATTAATAAAAGCAATAAATTCTCTTAAATTCTTACAAATTGAAAAAAGAAATAATAATATTTTTTTTCTTTTTATTTTCTCATTTGCCAAAAAATTATTAATTCTTAGAAATTTGTAGAAATTTTGAAATCTCACCATATAAATGAAAATTGTATTTCAAAATCCTTGCAAAATGAAAAATAATCATTTGATTATAAATCTTTCTTTTCTTTTTGCAAAATATAAACTTTAGTGGATCAAATTTTTTGGACAAAAATGACAAAAAAAAAATCAATAATCAAATTGTCACTCTCAATAATAAATTTAAATTTTTTAAATTTGTAGGAATTTTAAATCTATGACCGTATAAATAAGAATCATATTTCAAAATCCTTACAAATTTGAAAATAATAATATGAGTATTGATTCCTTATTTGTTGAAAAAAATCGAGTGCATTGAATTTTTTGGACAAATTAAAATAATAGTAGTAATAATAATAAAATTATACTTATTAATAATAAACTTAATAAATTATACTTATTTAGTTAATTTTAATTAAATCAGGGATAGATTGATATATAATTTCTAAATAAGATAAATTTATAAATATTTCAATTAATCTCAAAACTCTCACTTAGTATACTTTATTTTATCTTTAAATAAAAATTTTATTAGACTTATTTTTGAAGAAAATCTAACACACATAATAAATTGATTCATATCTGAATTTAGAATCAGAGAAAATAAAAAAAAAAAAAATTATCAGAAAGGACAGAAAATTTGACAGTTAGAGTGGAAAATATGCAAGTTGGGAGCACAGATGAAAAGTGAAACCACCAGTCAAGAGCCACGTGTGCAGCAATGGTGTTAGCGTCATCTTCCAAATTCACGCCATTCTCTCTCTCTTCTTTCATTCATTCTTTCCATAATTGATAATTGACACAGCCATTTTTGGACAATCTTCAATTTTGCAATTATTGACCTTTTTATGAAGAAATTGTTCTAAACCCCGTTTTCTCCATAGAACATATATATATATAAACCAAAAATCTTGATTCTTTACGATTTGTTCCGAAATTGCAATTTTCAAAGACAGACAAACATGTCCGAGAATATTGACTTCAACTCCCCTTCGTTTTCCATTCTCTCGTCCTTCTTCTTTCTCTGCTCTTTCTGAAAGGTAAACCCCACTTCTCCATTATAACACTTCTTATCTCAATTATTTTCAAGTTGTGTTTTTTATTTGTTATTTAATTAGTCTCTGTAGATCTAATTTCAAAGCCCTAATTTTTCTTTAATGCGATTTTGTCAATAGTCAACGAAGTTGTATCTGTTTATTTTTTTTTTGGTAACTTGTATCTGTTTATTATTTCACGGTCAGTGCGCATTCAAATCCTTTTTTTTTTTTTTTTTGGTTCTGGATTCGAAATCTGCAATAGGGTTTTAATTCAGGGCCATGTCTAGTGTTACATTGTTGCTGCGTTTTTGCCTTGACTGTTGCTTATCGAGCTAAAAATCCCATCTTTTCATGTGGAATTGTGCGCGACTTTCTCTGAATGTTGTGCTCTGCTGTTGAAACTGTGATTTTCGATTACCTGGTTTTGGAAGTAATCACGTAGCTAATCTGCTCTGTCATATTGAATCTGATTGCCTCTACCTTGTTTTTTTAACCTATTTAATTGGGAGATTGAATTCGTGGTGTTCCTGCTATGCAATGGTTGGGGATGTAGAATATTTGGAATTGGTTTAATATGTTTTGTTGGGTCTGATATAGAATATTACTTGAATTATTAATTTTTGAATTGATGGCGCCTAGTGCTGTTAAACTCTTTTTCTTTAGATTGTGGAAACACTTTCCAACCATGCACTGCATGGAAATATTCAGTGGATGGATCTGTCCAGTTAGGTCTGGTATAAATTTTTAATTAAATTGTTAAACTCCCTAGTAAAATGGTGATGACACTAAGTTGATGTTTAGTTGTAGCTTCCTAGAGGGTGGAAACCTTTTATAGATACATACTGCATTGAAATATTATGCATGCACCGCATATTCATATACATTTCAATTTATTGCTACATGGCATAGCATATTTACTTCCTGTTGTCGATTGGAAGACCATTAAATCTGTGAATATCAAATTAATGTGATGAGAAAGGTGGATGGCTTCCATTAATGGTTTCTGATATTGAATGTTGCTTAGATTGCTGACAACGCTATTAATGCTGGCTGTTTCCTCACACATGCTTTTAGTTATACAATTCTAGAAGCATTTGTCGTATTGCAGCGTGCTTGGTTTATCATCAATGACAGTGGAAAGGAAACGTTTTGATTCTCAAACTGAATGAAGTTGTATCCACTATCCTTTTCTGTGCCTCTTGTCTTGAATTTAAGTGGCGTCAAAGAGACCTTTTACAGGGAATGAGAAATATAGTTTTGATCCCTCAAACCATGTGGCCTATAAAACATTGTTTGAGAATGTTTCTTCCCGTCCTGTCACCACAGGCTTGAATCTGTTTTGTTGCTTGTCAAACAAAACATCAAACCAAGCATAAGTTTAGGCTTGGTTATTTGCAATGTTTTCTGGATCTATCGTTGTCATTTATATGTGGCCACTTTTATTTGCACGTATCACTATAAGTGTGTTTGCACATGAATATATGAACTTAAAGCATGATTGATTTGTCGTCATTTTCCTTTATATTTTGATAAATCCCTCAGAAATATTATATATACTGGCAGACATAAGTTCAACATGGTTTTCTTACAGTTAACATGTCATTTAATATATATATATATATATATATATATATATATATATATATATAAATACTCTATTTTTTTGGCTTCATGTCCATGAACAAGTTAGAGATCAGCTTGGATTTAGAAAGTTTAGGCATTAATGTGATATTTATCATTTCATCTTCAGCACTGTTGTTATATAATTTTGCCCTTTGGCTGTGTAAACATTCGGCATGATTGGATTATTTTAGCTAAGAAATTAAACTTGTTTTCTTTATCAATTACTAAAGTTAGAAAATTTGTCTTGACATTTACACATTTAATTAGGATTACCTTTTTTTTCTTCTTGGATTTCAGGTATGGAGTGTTTTGACATCTTGAAGAGATCATGGTGCAGTGCCTAGACGGATTAAAGCATTTGTGTGCTGTTCTGGTAAATTGTTGCGATGCCGATTCGTCAAAGCAACCTAGAGGTCTAGAAAATCCAGAAGTTCTTGCAAGAGAGACAGTGTGTATGTTATTATTGCCTTATTTCTTTCAATCATATGTTGTGAGGAACTTTTCTAGGGTGCAATAAACCAGTCATTCATTGTTAGTTCAATTTTGTCGTTAGCAGTTCTGAATTAGCACCAATTATCATTATTTTCTTGTATCTAATTGTGCCCATATATCTGTTTTTATCCTTGTCTTTCCATTTTGGTTATCACAATATTTTGGTAGACAATGGTTGAAAAGATTTGGATGGTCATATACTTTGACCACTAACGGGTAATGGCAGCCTTACATTATTGAGGGCAAATCGGGTAATAAAGGTAGAAATAAGAGATTCTGGGATACAGTTAGATTCTGAGATTTATAATTTAACACTGACTAATTGTAAAATCTGGACGGGAGATGATGCTCATCTCAATAATACCATATTAGTTTCAGAGTGTGGTTATAGAAATTGTTGAAGGAGAACTTCTGAAGGCCTTTGATGTCTCGGTTAACAGTTAGATGGCAATGGATCTATATAACTTTATTGTTTAGTTACTGAGCCTCTTGTTAAGACTTGATTCACTTAGAATGGAATATTCATGTGTTCTTTCTCTCAAGTTTCTTCTTTTATCCAAAGCATAAAAAAAGGGGAAAGAAAGAAAGAAAAAGAATATATTTATTTGTTTTATTGTCAATGCAGTTAGTGTAAGTGAGATTGAAGCGCTGTATGAACTGTTCAAAAAGATCAGCAGTGCGGTGATTGATGATGGACTAATTAATAAGGTGAGTTATGCCATCTCATATTCTGTCCTATCATTTTGAGTTATGGTATTTATATTTTCAACCTTTCTGGATGATGGCTTTCTTCCTAGCATACCCTTATAACTACACAAGGTATTTTGTTTTATGTAAAAATCACAAATTTGTAATCCACACATCTCTTGCATTGGTCGTTTGTAGTTCTAAACATTGTCTTTTTCTTTATTTTGATCGTTTCCTTGTTTTACATTGCAGGAAGAATTTCAATTGGCATTGTTCAAGACAAACAAGAAAGAGAGCTTATTTGCAGATAGGGTATGTAGAGTATTATCTTGTTTTGTTTACAATGGTTTTATAAATTTTAATGCATTTTTAATTCTAAGTATAAGACATATTTTAATGCATTTTTTTTTTAAAAATTCAATTCTTGTTCCAGAGTTGTGGATAAGATCTTCAACTTCAGTAGTAAAATTGATTTTGAACTACCTTTTTATACGTTATAGCCTGTTTGATTTAGTTCACCATGTTGCTATATAGCCTAAAAAATGTGGCCTTATATGTCATCAGTATTTTTGGCTGGTTTTTTGGGTAATGTTTACGATCTGATGACTTTGAAGTCAGTAACTTGCTGTATACATGTGATATATACCTTAGAAATGTTGTTTTTCCTTTTCAAGATTTTGTACTATTTGAATTCTGTAGGTGTTTGACTTGTTTGACACAAAGCACAATGGGATACTTGATTTCGATGAGTTTGCACGTGCTCTCTCTGTCTTTCATCCCAATGCACCAATTGATGATAAAATTGAGTGTAAGAATGACAAATATTGAAAAGACTTTAAATATCTTCTAGTCAACTATTTTTATTTGGGAATGGAAAGGGTAATTATTGGAGAGGGAGGTAATAATGCATATGCTTGTTGGGGATTCCCAACTTTTCCTTCTTGCAGTTTCGTTCCAGTTGTATGATCTCAAACAGCAAGGATTTATTGAAAGACAGGAGGTAATTTTGTTTTTTCTTATGATGTTGAATAAATGAAGTTTTGTTCACTCACCATGTAGGACTACTATTCTATATTGCATTTAGGCCACCTGACAACCAGTGTGTAATAAAATCATTTATTGGGAACTTGCATAATTTGTTTTTCTGAAGCCCAATGCATGTGTATTTTCAATTCTTTTTTCGTCCAAGGCCCTGTATTGAAAACCAGTCTAGCTCGTGAGTTTTCAAAGGTTGATTGTGAGCCATCTTTGCCTCAAGGCCAAGGCTTTGCATTGGGAGAAAGAAAGAGTAATTATAGACGATAATCTGTTCAGGAACTAAACAACTTTATCATTGTTTTAGGTGATATTTAGGTATGTGACCTTATATTGGGACAGAATTTGACAACTTGCTATTGTAAGTTTCTGATGTGAGAACTGAGAACAACCTAGATGAAGTCGATAGTGTATTGTGAGGCACTCACTAGGAAAAATGGGTTGAATGTTTCAAGCATCAAGATTTAAGATTAGAAGCCTAAAATCATACCTGAGTCAAAATAACTGAATTTTTTCTATTCCAGCTCTAACATTGGGAGCTATGCATTCTCAGAAATTACATACTACTTTTCTTTTTCCTTTTATCTTCGTAGAATTTAACTGCCAATGAATTTAAAACATGTTTTAGAATCATAGTGCAAAATTTGTAATTGTTTTTGTTTCCTTGGAATCTGTCTGATACTCTGATCTGACATGGTTCTGGTATCAGCATGTATTTGAGATGCATTTATGATCGTTTTTTAATGTATAGGTAAAACAAATGGTGGTGGCCACTTTAGCTGAATCTGGTATGAATCTTTCGGATGATGTGATTGAAAGTATCATTGACAAGGTGCTTCATTTATCTGATTACTTGAATTGCATGCCAAATCTTATGTTCAGTATTAGACTAGGTATGTTTGTTACATTTTTCTTTCTTTCTTTCTTTCTTTCTTTCTTTCTGTCATTCATTCTTTTCTTTTTTTTCTTTTTTTTGCATTCTTTCCTTTTTTATTTTATTTTAGGTTTTTTCTTAGTGTAAATATGAAATTTGTTATTATTATTTTTCACTCTTCTTGAAAGTCTCAAGAAGTAAATGCAATATTATTAAGCATGTAAATTATATGTAATGCATGTGTTCTTCGGAAATTAGCAGTTTAATTTTTCTGTTTGTGATTGATTTTACAACTGGCAGCTAGTTCTGTCTTTTCCCAAACTTTTAGTGTATGTTATTTTGATGGTAACTGTTTGTCCTTCGTTATGTCTAACAATAGTCATTTACTCCCTTAGTTTCAAAATAATTATCACTTTATTTATTTTAGTTTGTTTCAAATTGCTTGTCACTTTAGAAAACCAAAACAGCATTAATTACTTTTTCCCAACTTTATCCTTGCCTTCTGGTATCTCCACTAAGTGGAATTAATGGAGTGAGAGGGTAATATAGTAAAATAAACTGATATTTCCTTGAAATTGAAAATATTTAATGACTTTATCCTTGTGCAAAATCTTACACGACAATTATTTTGAAACCGAGGGAAGTATTAATGGGAGGAGAATTATGTGTACTCTATGCTATGTTTTCCTAGAATTTGAACCTAAGTCTCTACTAATTTTCTCTCCTAAATTAATTAAACCTTCTTCAGCCTTATTCTCAGGAACTTCGTAAGTTTCCTTAGTTTTATGTGTGTTGATTTGATGATGAGAGCATATAAAAAATCATTCTTGTGCTATCATAATTGTCTCTGGAGATCTGTCACTAACAATTTTTAAGCTATTTAGACATTTGAGGAAGCTGATACAAAACATGATGGGAAGATTGACAAGGAAGAATGGAGAAACCTTGTCTTGCGGCATCCATCCCTTCTGAAAAATATGACTCTTCAGTATCTTAAGTGAGTTTCTTCTGTTACTAACAACACGATTTGAATTCTGGAATTCTCTCGCCAATGAGGGAAATCTTGCCTAACATATTTGGATGTGTTTGTTAAAATGAGCCACAATATTACTATAAATTTAATCTACTGCTAATAAATAGAATGGGTGGTTTTTTCCTTCACTTTTATAGCAAATGTTTCGAATCCTTACCATTTCAAATGTTTGTTATGTACACTGATAGGGTTGCAAAAGTATATAAAATTATTGTAAAACAGAAAATTGTATTTTTGATGATTACAAGCCAATGCATCCTTCTTCTTCCCTTATGCTTATCTCCATGTGTTTGTCACTTTCAAATTGCAATAATAATAATAATAAAAGAAAAAACTTATCGAGTCTGAGTGGACTATGCATGTAAGCCTTTTGGGTCATTCACGTGGGATACATAGAACAAGTTTTGTTTAAATGGTGGCGATTTGGCATCAATACAATTACCTTCTCATTGATTTTGTCCTGAATGGCATCTCTAATATATCTATATATTCTATATCTCTAAGACACAGACATCTTTAGTTGAACGAGAACTAGTTTTGTTATCAAGCTCTAGCATCTGACATTTGAATTAACTTGTTTCCTTGGCAGAGATATCACCACAACATTTCCCAGTTTTGTGTTTCACTCACAAGTTGATGATACTTGAGGAAACCACATCATCCATGTCAGTCTTGACTGGGAATGGTCTTTGTTTCGCTTGGGAATGATGGGGTTCTGTGCGAATGATTCGGTTAGGGGTGGATATGGACTTTTGTTTATTTTTTCATTATGAGTAGATCTTTGTCTTCCCTTTTTGAATAGATGAGGTTTGTAGATTGAACAAATGGGTTTGCTTATTTATTTTCTTTATTTAAGAATAAAATCTGATTTGATTTATAAATTAAAGCTTTATTTGACAAGTAATAAATTTAGAATTGATTTGATTTGAAAGTTTTACTTTTGTTGTGTAACAAATTAAAACATACTCAAATTATATTAATTTTGGGATTTAAATCAACTTTAATTTTGATTATTGAAATTCAAGTTTTTACTATCATATGTGGATTAATTTATGGGATTTATTAATTTCCTTTGATAGAAAAGATAGCTTATTTCATGCATAAAAACAAGTTATGTGGGTCTCACCATTTTAAAAAAAAATAAAAATGGCACTACTTTTTATGTCTCACTAACATGAGATAATTGTCTTTTATAAAAGGAGACAATTTAAACCCTTAATTTACCCTATTATAAATATAATAAATTTTGGGGATAGTAGTCTAATTGTAAGAGATTAGTATCTCATGTCATAAACACAAAGCATGTGAAGAGTATTCATTTATTTATTTTTAAAAGAGTGGACCTCGTATACTTTGCGTAACATGAGATACTAGTCTCATAAGAGACTAGTATTTTCCAAAAAATTTATACTTGATTTTAATAATTAATATTTTATATTTAATGACTTTATTTTGTTAGTCACGTAAACTGTTAAAAACAAGTAGAATTAACTCAGTTTTTTTTTTTCATTTGAGTTTTGATTTTGATAATATTTTTAATATCAATTTTATATTTTTACTTGTTTGATTTTCAATTCATAAAAAATAATATTTGGACAAAAACTTAAATGAGTGAAAAATGTAAGAGTAGAAATAAAAACCCAAATAAGTAAGGGAAAAGTGTGTCTTTTGTAAAGGATACAACATTTTGTCATTTTAAATAAAATGATTGTTTATGATGGGTGAGATTTGCCATACAGTGGAAGATCACGGTGGAGAAGAGTGGAAGATTATTGATGGAATTTTTTTAAATATGAATGATACAATATTATGTCTTTTGAAAGGATAAACTCATAAACACTTCTCCCATAAACCAATAACTAAAAGAATCTATTCAAACTAAAATCTAAATGAATCAAGATTATAAGGAATAAATATTACATAAACCTAATTTTAATTAAAAATTATCTCAATTTCTTTTTCATTAACTTGTTTTCTTTTAATTATTAAAAGCATTTATTTGAAGAACTCATTAGATTTATAAATTAAATGATATATTTGACAAGTAATAAATTTATAATTGATTTGATTTAAAAGTTTATTTTAGTTGATGAGTAACAAATAAAAACTTACTCAAATTCGATTAAATTTTATTGGATTTAAATCAATTTTAACTTTGATAGGTGAAATTGAATTTTTTTTTTGTAAATAAAATTAAAATTTTTATTATTATAATAGAAATAGAAATTTTTATTATTATATAGGGAGCAACTTATATTGGTGTAAATAATATACACGATCTTAACAATTAATTAACTTGCATTGCATCTACAATCTTTAATTTATTAGTCATATCAACAATTAAATGCAAGCAGAATCAATAACTAATATTTTAGTCTCTACAATTCTTTTTCATTCTAAAGTTCATTTTGATAAAAAAAATTAATATCAGTTATTATATTTTTTCTTATTTAATTTTTAATTAAAAAATAATAATATTCGAATGTATTTGGACTAATTAATAATTTTTATTATCAATTCATTTTGATAATTTTTTATTTGAGTTTTAATTTTGATAATTTTTAATATCAGTTCTTATGTTTTTACTTATTTAATTTTTTATTCATAAAAAATTAAAATTTGAATATATTTGGATTAAAACTTAAATGAGTGAAAATTATAAGATCCAAAAATTTATTAGTAGAAATAAAAACTCAAATAAGTAAAAATATATAAACTAATAGATATCTAAAAGAAAGTGTTAAAACCAAAATCTAAATGAGTCAAGATTCTAAGGATTATAATATTGTTTAAAGCAGATTTTAAACATTAGCTCAAAAAGTATTTTCATTAACTTGTTTTCTATTAATTATAAAAATTATTTGATATGTTTTCAAGCATTTATGTTAAGAGATGATTTGATTTATAAATTAAATTCTTTATTTGACAAAGTAATAAATTTCGAATTTATTTGATTTAAAAGTTCTATTTTAGTTTTGCAACAAATAAAAACTTGCTCATATTTGATTAAATCTAATTCCTTTTTAATTTTAATTATTTTAAACTCAAATTTTTATTGTCAAATGTTATTCGCTAAGTCTTTTATGTTATTAAATGTGAGAGCTATCTACTGGTTCAAAGAATGTCATTTATCCTATTTCAACTAAAGGTAATAAAATAAATTATTTTATAATCAAATCTATTCTTTTTTAATGAATTCTAAACATGAAAATTATTTTCTATATTGATTCAAATCTTGTTCTTTTCGTAATAAGTTATAATTAATAATAATTACCAAATATCCCATAAAATTTAAGATTAAAATATTCTTAAATATATTTTAATATTTAGAGATGCCTATATAAAAAATAATTAAATTAAATGATTCGCACCTTATTATATGAATAAACCCAGATGGTTCTTACGTTACAATTGACTTACAACTCATGACACTGTGCCTGTGGTGTGAGTGAGTGAACCCTTTAATACTATATAATACTACTCTTTAACATATCATTAATTCATTGCCTTGCTACTGTGCTTCCTGCGTTTCCTTCTACTTTCAAACAATTTTTGGCGATGTCGTCGGAGAAAGGAGGAGAGGGTACTCACTCCCTGTCAAGCGAAGGAGGTATATATATATGTCTTCACCATCCATCTCCTCTTTATTAAATTTTTTATTTTTTTTTCTGTCAACCTTTGTTATAAACTTTTTTGTTTTGCGACTCAAATATTGGTTGGTTCCATGATTTTCATATGCAGATATATATGATGTTCCTCACATTACTGTTTAAGTGTTTCTGGATTTTGTTTTTACTAAAGAGAACACCGATTAATTATAGCCTAAAGGTTCAGTCTTCCCTTAGGTTCCTTGACGATTAGCCATCCGTTTCTCATAAAAACAACTTTATCCAAAGCTTAAGTTATTAAATAAAAGGGATCAAATAAAATCTTATGTTGTATCTCACGCCATAAATACAAAGTATATGAGATCTATTTTTTTAAAAATAATAAAAAAAATATTGGTATAACTTTTGATATATGAGTAGTAGGAATATGTTATCTCATATACCATTAGACAAACATACCCCTAAATAAAAATACATAAATCATTTTATATTATATTTCTTAACACATTCATTCAATAGGATTTAAGCATATTCAATGTACAGCCAATTAAACAAAGAACCCTTTTTAGAGATTAAATCATGGTGCTGAATTTTTTGTCAGAAGATATAGGGCATCAAGGATCGATCGAAATATAAACTATTTAGCCACAGAGACTATTATATTATGTCATAAGTCAACTACTAGATCTCCCATATGAATAATTTTTATATTATATGTGTTTGATACCATGTAATAAAAACCAGCTCTCATAAATGGTTTAGAATATGAATGAAGATCGTAAAGGGTTTTATATTACATCTCTATCAAGTTTAGAAGATTCTTAAGTCTCTGTGATGCCTGTTTGGGGGGTTCACGTGTGAATACTGGTTTGGATTTTGACCTAAGATTACTAGCGTCACTGAAGTTCTTTGGTTTTAACGCTGATTTCTTTTATGTATTTGTCTGTGTAGGTTGGAGATGTCTTTGATTATTATTATTATTTTATTAGCAATTTTGCATGCTTTCTTTTAATGCTTTTTTATGTCTATCTTAGTTGTTCTTTTTTTTTTATTACTTACATGAGATTGCATATGATCATATTATGTTCATCTTACCATGGTCAGCCAACGGGACATAGTGCCAACATTTCAAAACATTTTTTGATTTAAACACTTCATTACCCACTATTTTTTTTCTGGTAGGATCACCAAATGGGAAAGATGGCAGTTCTACAATGTCACCAAAGGGAAAAGGGGTTCAGTTTGCTAATGAAGGTGAGCATCATTGTTCTATTATCTTGGTACGACTGCTCCCAATTAATAGGAGTGTTAGAGATATATAGTTCCACATTAGTTGTATGAGCAATTAATGTGGAGTTTATAAGGCCTTGGACACTCCCAGCTAACTTTTGGGGTAGTGTATCCCAAAGTTCTTTCCATGGTACCAGAGCCTTGTATTCCGCTTCTAATCCAAAGGGCTCTTGCGTGAGATATATAGTCTCACATTGGTTCTCTCTGCGGGAGCACTTAGCCTAGCCTTTGTGAACTAGTTATACAATCTCCTTATTTATATGATTGTTTAATTGCATGTAATCTAGAAGTAAGCATTTAATCCTGACATCGCAACTCCAAAAGATATTATTGGCTTCTTTTTTTTTTTTTCTGACTTACCATTCTGGAACATCTTCATCACAATCATTAAATAATTTCTGTTCATTCTTAATTTTTTTGGAGGGGTATGTATTAGATTTATTGTATCTGTCGTGCCTTCTAATTTCTGAGCCATTTCTTTTTTATGGACCTTATTTTTAAGGTGGTCGGAGTAAAGGAGAAAAGAAAGGCAAGATTCCAAAAGGTGTAAAGATTCCTATGTGGAAAGAACCAGAACCATCAGACATTGAAGTTGGGCAGGGTTGGTGCTTGTCTTGACGATTATCATTGTGATTTACCTTCTAATTTTTGTGTGGTCTAGTAATTCTATTGAACTGAGTTCCTAAGTACTTGTAATTGAGCCATTAATTATACTGTAACATTTTCATTTACAAAAATAAAAATAAAAATAAAAAATAAATTAAACCTAGATTTGCTTTTTCAATATAAATGATTTATGATATATGTTTGCTTAGATTCATCGATAATTTGTTTCAAGGTTTAAGCTTGCGAATGATCCGCAAATTAATATCTACGACGACACTAAAATCCCTTTTGGTGATATGTGCAGAACTTCCAGAAAATATTAAATGCCTGATGAACTGTGAGGCTATAGATATTTTACAAGGAATTCAGGATCGGATGGTCACGTTTGCTAAGGATTCAAATATCAAATTTCCTGAGTGAGGGAAACTTACAGAGCTTTTATTTTTTGTTGAAAAGGATGCATGGATTATTTAAGATATGTCATTTAAATTTTAGATCTGTTTGAGCGAACTGAACTTTTTCTTTATTTTCCCTCGTAGATTATTTGCCAAGACACTGAAGAATGCCACAAGTTTTACCAATTATACAAATTCCAAATCTGTTAGAAGCATTCTTGAGTATCCTTAATTTTTCAGTTTGGTGTGTGTTTTATATATAGACTGTGCTATCTATGTGTTTCGGTTTGGTGTAAAGGATATATAAATGGTATTATTGCTTTGCATGACTTTTCTTCTCTTATCTCCATAATATTGTTCATTTGTGTTCTTCTCTTAACTCAAATATATATTAGGCCTCTCGCAGATTATGGTGTCTCTGATAGTGAGGTATATATGATCAATCTCATTCTTATATCCTTTTTTTTTTACGTAATATATATGTAGCATTCTTGACATGAAGTATTCCGCTGCAGACGTGTGTGATTGGTAATGTTTGTCCAGAAACTGTTGATGAAGTTTTTGCATTTGTCCCATCTCTAGAGGTATGACGTATATATCCAAGTCTTAAATGAATGGGCAGTTTATTCTTTTCATATAAATAATATAGAGAAAATATTTTCTCATGTTGCATGAGAATTCAATTCTCATGTTGTGACCCTTCGATTTGCGTGCAAAGCTTTTCTTTTCTTTTTCTTTTTTTAATAAATGTGGGGCCCACCACTGGTTGAGTCACAACATGAGAATTGAATTATCATGCAACATGAGGAAATCAAATCCCAATAATATATTACTGAAAGGAATATGGTTTTTTGTACTGCGTGTTCAGGATAAGAGAAGCAAAATTGACGTCCAAGTTCTTAAAGATGTATTGAGTGAGCTTGCTAAGCTTAAAGCCACATAATGAAAAACTCGATGGCTGATGAGTTTTCTGTTGGTAATGCTTTGGATCAGTATCTTTATCTTTCATTTGCACCTTGCTTTATTACTTATTTGCATTTTATTGTATTCTGAATGAGTTTATTACTTACTAGACAATGTAATGTCAAACTTAATTTATCCATGCTTTATATATATTCGTTTGAGTTTTCATTCGTATCCTATTAGGGTTTATTATACAGACTCTTAACGTGGATGTCAAGGAGATGAATTTATATATGTACTAGACGTACCATTGAACGAGTATATGGTAACAACAGGATAACTTGGTGGTTGAATAAATAAACTTATTTAGTTTTTGGTCCATTGGGCTTACTATATATTTAGCCCAACATCTAGAATTATACTTTAGGAGTTAGTTTAGGCCAAGATCTACAAATTTCTATTCTACTCAATTTCATGAAAGTTCTAGAGGATAGTTGCACCTATCATTATTAATAAGGGTAATTGCACCTACCATAATTAATATTTGTACTAGGCTAGTATAGAAAACTCTAGAATTATTTAGTGTTATTGTTTTGTGGAAGTGCTACTAGTATAAATAGGGATCATCTCTATCATTTTGTATTAAGCCAAAGAAAATGGTTGTGCAGCAATAAAAATGTTCTCTTCTGTATCTATTTATAACTTTTACTTTTCTAAAAAATCTTCCTCCCAACATTGGTACGTAACAGCAAGAAGCATTATTAAGTTGGATTGGATAATGATCCAAAGCCAGCAAGGAACCTTGTTATGCCAACTTGGATTGGATACTTAATTACAATATTAAGTTGCGGTCTTCGCCTTCATATATTCAGAAATAGATAACAATAACATAGATTGCCCAATAAAAATCACCTAGTTTGAAACTCGTGAACTCAGGTTATTAATGTGGACAAAATATAGGTCCGCAGCTGAGTTACGTACAAGTTACAACATTACCTAATTTGACCTAGCTATTCATTGTTTTGCACTTCAAGATTGTAGATAATTTTGGAGCCTTTTCCTTGTCCTCCCAACTAATTAATGAATGATCGATGGGTTGACTTAGATTCCTTGTTAATTTTACCATACAAATTCCTTGTGTCTTTTAAGCGAACCCGTCAATTATGAAGTCAAATATTAACAGGGATTGAAATCTTCCGTCTTTTCTTCCGAAAAATATTTTGATATCCAGTAAAGGATAGCATAGGATTTATCGTATACTTCGTAACAAAATTAACAAACCTCTTTTCAGTTTTCATTCGTCTCCAAAAAATAAAAAGTTTAATTGAACCAAAAAAACATGCATGAATTTCACCACTTAAGAAAACAAAAAGCTTTTGTGGGCTCAAGCAAACCAAATTATGGTTCTCGATTTGATTCATTTTCAAATCAATCAATGTTTGTACGTAGTTCACTCATTGCCCTATTAACATTTGTGTATGCTTGGATTAATTTATGTTGCATGTGTTAAAAAAAATCAATTAAAAAATTTCCTAAGAGATGTTTTTGTTAAAAGATGATTATTTAGTTTCTAAAAAATAATCATTATAACAGATATGCTTAAGAATTAGGGGTGTCCGAAACATATTGATGAATTACGTCACTTTAAAAAAAAGTACTAAAAATTATTAAATAGAAGTGAATAATTTATTTAGTTTACATGGATATATTTACCGTCCTTTAGAATTCATACGCGTACCAAAAAAATAAAATAAATAGTTAAACTATTGTTTGGTCACATCTAATGTGGTTGAAATTTGATAAATACATTAAAAATTCCATAAGAGTTTCGTACGCGTCACGAGCAGTTAAAATGGAGAAAAACTTCAATGCATTAAATAGACAAACATTTTAGGATTTAAAAGAAAACGTAAAAAAAAAGCATAGATAAAAATGGATTTTTTTTCTTTTCAGTTCAGTACTCCCTCTGTATTGAAATTTTTCTCATTAAAATAAGCTAAATTTGTTGAGTAAGTCTATTTGTCTGAATAGAAAATGTAAGTCTTGATTAGTCAATTTCTAGTTTTAATGTTAAGTATGCAATATGATAGCTTAAATGGGGTTATGTTGATCTATTTGACCGAATTTTTTTATATAATCCAAGACTACCATGGTTCTTCTATTAAAAAATTAATACATGAATTAATTTTTTTTTTTTGTCTTTCCTCGATCTTTTCTCTCACCTTTGCCCCATCCATTTTTTCTTGCGCAGGGCGAGGGAGCACACAGAGTCAGCTCCTATTTGACAATCCAAGCACAATAGTAATTAGTAACTGAATTGCATTCTTAGGAGAAGGAAAATATCTATTTTGTAATATAAAAATTTAAAAAAAAGTGTTTATCCTTTTAAATTATATAATTTATATTTTTTCACTCTTATAAAGAAGTGTGACCCACATTTTTATTTATTTTTTGTCAATTATCTCTTTATTTATTTATCTTTTTCTCTCTCTTGAAATGACACAACTTTACATCCTTTAAAATGACACACTTTACCCAAAAACTTATGATTATTTAAAAAAAAAAAAAAAACTTATGATTAAATAATAATATAAAACTTCTGTTTTTAAGTGACAATTAATGGTCAAAATAAAATCCGGGCAATTTACAGGTCTTCCAGGCTAGTACAATCACAATTTCCAAGGTACCCAAGTCGTTGCTGGATGCTGAATATGCTAATTAAAACATCATGAAATTTCCCACAAACTGTAACGTAATGTGAAACAAGGAAATTTCCCACAAACTGTAATGTAATGTGAAACAAGGAAAATATACTAATAAAGAATAGGTTTAGGTACAACATGCCACGTACACCTAATAAAGAAACCGTAGGATACTAGGAATAGGAGCAGAGATACGATCATTCGATTTCAAGGTTTTTCTGAGGCTTCCTTCCATAGTGAGTGAGTACTGAGTGGTGACTGATCATAAAGCTTTTACCCCATAAACAGGACTTTTATAAAATTAAGTATATCAGTTTCTTTCTTCAATGGGAAGCGTACAATCAGCGAAACGCAGAATTAGGTCGTTTCCACTACTTCATTCTTCAACCAGCCGATATCACCGTCTTTCTAATTCTTCTGCTTTGCTGAACCAACCTCTACTGAGAGACGAGAACCTCGTATGTTTTTAGTATTTTGATTTTGAACACACACACACACACACACACACACACATATATATATATATATACAGGACTTGTCTTTCCTTAGCTTTGATGAATATTATTGCACTAGCACCATCTACACAATTTTTTATGTTTCTTTTTTGTCAAGTCTGTGGAAACAAAACATGAAATTCAAGCCTACTGGGAAAAGTGTTCGGCTCTAGAGAAGGAGATTCATGGACTCAAATCCAATTTTGATAGGCTCAAAACAACGGTTCAAACCAGCATCTCAAAACTGCAATCAAGACCCACCTCAGAGGCCGAGGTATGATTTTTTTCATGAATATGATTCGAACCCATATCAGTGTTTTCTGTAATCTAATTTGTGATCAGATGCATCCATACATGAAATTTTGTTTCATGCATATATATGTATGTGACAGGCCATTGAAGGTGAAAAACAGGAAGCATTAATTGCCAGTCTCAAAGAAATGGTTGACAAATTAAAGAAAAGACTTGATGGGGAAATTATGGCACGTGAAGCTGACAAACGGGCTTATAGTGCTGTGAGAGCAAAATTTAGAATCTAGCAGCTAGTTCCATAACCTTTGTTCTAATTCACTGTTTTGTCAAGTTAACTCTGGTTTATTCTGTTTAATAATAGTCATTGTCAAATCAAGGATCGGTCATCAAAAGGGTAGAAGAGAAGAACATTGATGTGGAAAAAGAAATCGCAGAACTGAAAACCGTAGTTAATGAGATGAAATCTAGCATGGTTGACTTGGCTGCTGTTACTGCTGAGTTGAAGCTTGAATCTCGTCGAACAAAGGTGCATCTGATAAGGAATATATATTATTAATTATTAAACTCTCTGCAGGACTCTGCAACCGTTCTGTTTATTTACCCCTTTCCTTGTAAAGTTGTTTTTATTAATAATTTGTTTTATATTTCAGGAGGCACCCAAATCAGCTGAACTTAGAATACCAAAACTGAGGTTGATAACAGCTTTAATGGATGTGCCATGTATCATTCTCATATTTTTAATTGGATTTCTCATCGGTCAAAATATTTAACCAAATTTAATTTATGTCTGCACTCTGCACAACAGCATGGACCGTGCGTGGGAAGGTTATCTAGTGTGTTGCTCTGATTATGTTTTCTTTTTCTCTATTTTTTTTCTTCTTCTTTTTTTCCGCTGAAGAACTCTTGTATAAAATGTTTAAGGAACTTAATGATTTTCCATCCCTTGTAATTTGAGCTGGTGTTTTCTTTCTTCCTTGCACCTTAATAAATAATCTTGATGAAAGTTTTCCCTATGTATTAATTATCCCTTTTTATTCAGCACTCTGTGTGTGAAAGGATTGGAGAAAAAAGGAAATTAAACAAGCTTGTTATTATTTATTAGATCCTACATCAAATTTAAATGGAACTTGACTTCGGTGGCATGATAATCGATTTGGTCCCTATTTCATTGGAACTAACTATCTTAACCAACAAGACCTGGCATGCAAGTTTTTGGAGACACGCATGGTCTGAAATCATGGAAAACACCCAGATTAGTTTTTCTTTTTCTTTTTAATTTGTGGACAAATTGTGTTGATATTCTAGAAGTTTGATGAAATTACGCTCATTATCTTTGGTTTGAGAAATTACACTAATCTCTCGCTTTTTAATTAGATGAATAATTATACTAATCTCTCACGAAACAAGTGTCTTTTGTATTATTATTTTTCTATACAGGTACCCTACGTCGCCTTCTATGTTGTTGTTTTTTTAAAAAAAAAAACCTTTTATGTAATTTTGATAGTAAAAAAAGAGTAAACATAATCTTTAAAACCATACGACAAGTCAGTGGAATTTTATAAAATTCTATGTCAACGTAATTTGCCTTCCTTCCTCAAGATAAACACGTCACATAGTGTGACTAACCTCCCACAGGCTATATACAGCGTAATTATAGTTTGACTTTGCGGGAATTTTGGGCCGAAGGAGGGATTATAGCTTTTTGTTTTGGTAAACTATAGTTTCATTTTATATGGAATGCAGTTTTGTTTAACTCGATTATAGTTTTAGTTTGTAGACTTATACTTTCAATTTTTATCCAATGCAGTTTGTTTAATGGGTTGGTTTTTCTGCTGTAAATGTAGATATCTACATTAATTTCAAAATGATGTTGTTTCAAGGTGAAAATTAAAATATTTTTGTAATTATAATTTATTTTAAAGTTATAATAATCTTTTTTATTATAATTTTTTAAACTTTAAATCCAAAACAACATCATTTTAAGAGTAAATGTAAATAAGTTATCTATATTTATTGTAGAAATTTAATTTGATCTATATTTTTTTTAGACTAAATATATTAGGTCACCCGATTATATATGAGGTTTAATTTTGTTAATGTGCGTTTTTAAAGTACAGGTTAAAGAATTAAAAATAAAATTATTATATAAAATATATTTAATATCTTTAAAAGTTAAAAAAAAAATATTTTATACTTTTAAATTAATGATATTAATTTCATAAAGGATAGTAAAAGCTTCGTCCTAAAACACACTAATTAACAATATCATTATATATATATAGAGGAGGGTTATATTTATAAAAATTTTATTTACAAATTATACTATGTTTTCCCGAGAGAACACTAGGTTACACTATGTTCTCCCAAAAATACATAGTGTAATTTGCAAAAATTTATAAACGAATCATTTCTCATATATATATATATATATATATATATATATAAGCTCTAATTCGTCCTTAAAACTGATTGGATAAGTTTTTAGTGGTCCTAAGATTTTTTGACAAAAATATTAATCAGTTAAAGCTGATTGGATAAGTTTTTCCAAACTAATGTAATCAAACATGTCACTGATACTGACGAGACTATTGTCATGTCAACGCCATGTAGGCAGTCTTATTGCCGTAAAACTTCGGAAGGTCATAACTTTTAACTCGGGTATCCAAATCAAATGATTTTTTATTATTTCACATAATTTTTTAGATCTACGACACATCATATAACATATTTTATCTCTCACAGCATAGTTTAAATTTGCAACAATAATACCACATCCAAACTAATGTAATCAAACATGCCACTGATACTGGCGGGACTATTGTCATGTCAGCGCTATGTAGGCAGTCTTATTGTCGTAAAACTTCGGAAGGTCATAACTTTTAACTCGGGTATCCAAATCATATGATTCTTTTTTATTTCACATAATTTTTGAGATCTACGACACATCATTTAACATATTTTATCTGTCACAGCGTAGTTTAAATTTGCAACAATAATACCACATCCAAACTAATGTAATCAAACATGTCACTGATACTGACGGGACTTTTGTCATGTCAGCGCCATGTAGGCAGTCTTATTGCCGTAAAACTTCGGAAGGACATAACTTTTAACTCGGGTATCCAAATCAAATGATTTTTTTTTTATTTCACATAATTTTTGAGATCTACGACACATCATTTAACATAATTTATCTCTCACAACATAGTTTAAATTTGCAACAATAATACCACATCAAAACTAATGTAATCAAACATGTCACTGATACTGACGGGACTATTGTCATATCAGCGCCATGTAGGCAGTCTTATTGCCGTAAAACTTCGGAAGGTCATAACTTTTAACTCGGGTATCCAAATCAAATGATTTTTTTTTATTTCACATAATTTTTGAGATCTACGACACATCATTTAACATATTTTATCTCTCACAGTGTAGTTTAAATTTGCAACAATAATACCACATCCAAACTAATGTAATCAAACATGTAACTGATACTGACGGGACTATTGTCATGTCAGCGCCATGTAGGCAGTCTTATTGCCGTAAAACTTTCGGAAGGTCATAACTTTTAACTCGGGTATCTAAATCAAATGATTTTTTTTTATTTCACATGATTTTTGAGATCTACGACACATCATTTAACATATTTTATCTCTCACAGCATAGTTTAAATTTGCAACAATAATACCACATCCAAACTAATGTAATCAAACATGTCACTGATACTGACGGTACTATTGTCATGTCAGCGCCATGTAGGCAGTCTTATTGCCGTAAAACTTCGGAAGGTCATAACTTTTAACTCGGGTATCCAAATCAAACGATTTTTTTTTATTTCACATAATTTTTGAGATCTACGACACATCATTTAACATATTTTATCTCTCATAGCGTAGTTTAAATTTGCAACAATTATACCACATCCAAACTAATGTAATCAAACATGTCACTGATACAGACGGGACTATTGTCATGTCAGCGCCATGTAGGCAGTCTTATTGCCGTAAAACTTCGGAAGGTCATAACTTTTAACTCGGGTATCCAAATCAAATGATTTTTTTTTATTTCACATAATTTTTTAGATCTACGACACATCATTTAACATATTTTATCTCTCACAGCGTAGTTTAAATTTGCAACAATAATACCACATCCAAACTAATGTAATCAAACATGTCACTGATACTGACGGGACTATTGTCATGTCAACGCCATGTAGGCAGTCTTATTGCCATAAAACTTCGGAATATCATAACTTTTAACTCGGGTATCCAAATCAAATGATTTTTTTTATTTCACATAATTTTTGAGATCTACGACACATCATTTAACATATTTTATCTCTCACAGCATAGTTTAAATTTGCAATAATAATACCACAATCACAAGAGCGTTTAAATACAGAGGATGACATGTGCCGCACCTCATGGTGTTGGTTGCCTTTTTCTCAGTTGTGACAGCTCTTTATATTAATGTTCCAAGAGACCAAAACTTTGGCTAGTACTAAGATTGGTCTAGTTGTGAGGAGTTTGGATAAGATCACACAACCGAACCTCTTTGCTATCATTTATTTTTTAACTTAATTTCTACTTGATATGTTTTTTTCTTTTTTTATTTAGATATGTCTTTTTCCGCATATTGTAAAAAAATTCGTATTTTTTAGTATTAATATATTCAATCCCTAATTTATGAGGATATGACTATTTTCCCTTAATTAGGATCACAAATTAGGAAATCAAATTAGGATCAAATTAGGATTAAATTACAATCAATTTGTGTTTATTAGTTTCCGTGTTTTGTCCAAAGGCCATTTATATATATTGTAAGCTCTACTCATTCAGGAATACAAGTCAATACACAGTTTTTTTCCAAGGCCTTGTAAAAGATTGAACTTGTGTTGGTCCTTAGGGTTGTCTAAGGGGAACAATGAATGCACTTGCAGCCACCAACAGGAACTTTAAGTTGGCCTCTAGGCTTTTGGGATTGGATTGCAAGCTTGAGAAAAGTTTGCTGATTCCATTCAGGGAAATCAAGGCAAGTAAAACCGTAAAACTATCTTGTTCTTGCTATGTTTTTGTTTTGGCAAATCACCCTCCCGGAAAGAATATGTCACCTTGGCCGTTTATGTTGTGCTTACTATCTCTTTATATTAGATTTGATTCACATATATAGTTCAACAATTCTAGTTCTATTATTTTTTTTCTTGAATTTATTCTCAAATTAGTTAGGAAATATATGTTACAATATGGGTCTTTTCATTGCTTTTTTTTCATTATAATTATTCTTTGCTTTATTCTTCAGTTCACGTATTACCGTTAATTAAGGGGTGATTTAAGAACATGTTAATAAAGTAGGGATTCTTTTTAACATTGTTGAATATGTTTTAACTCCGCTATATAGATTATTATTATTTATATGAGAACAACCTTCTAGTTTTTATTAATTGATAATTGTAGAATGTATTTTATTTTATAAAAAAACAATATAAAATGATAAAAAAAAAACCAAAAAAAAAAAAGAAATTTTACTCTCTTCTTTAATAATTACTATCAATCAAATTTTTACCTTTATTTTATTTTGCCCATATTTCAGTTCATATTTTTTTATTTTGTTTGTGGTTTTTTAATGAAAAATAAATTTTGTTCAATGAAAATGCAGGTTGAATGTACCATTCCTAAAGATGATGGTACTTTGGCGACTTTTGTTGGATTCAGAGTTCAACATGATAATGCCAGAGGCCCTATGAAAGGAGGGATGAGATACCACCCCGAGGTTATTTATATTTTGACTTTCAAAAAATTTAGTTACTAACCAACGACACCCTAAATTGAAAACACAAACTAGCTATTAGATTTTTTTTCCCGATAAAAATGTTATGCTTTTT